TTAGTCATATTGTTACATCCCCATTCCGTGTTGGTAAACGAAACGATTTGATCTAATTACTTCATTTTAACGAAATTGAGTCAAATTATCTCATCACACAAATTTAATTTTATTGTTAGACTTCACAAAATACAATCAACGTGAAAGTACTTTTTCTATAACAAATTCGAGCGTCGTCTATAATTTATTTCTTTCAGTGAACAAAACTTTTTTTCATAGTCACATAAAGTATTATTATTTTGAAAAAGGAAGAAAAATATATTTTTAATTTGCTTGAAGAAAACTTTGGAGATAAAGTACAAATAAATTAAAATTCAATCTTGGGGAGTTAAGCACATTGAGAGGCCAGACCGATAATAATAGGGATAACAATGGTGCGAGTGGTACCTGAATACTAATTTTTGGGAGACGTTGGTGGGCTATCTTCTTCACTCCTTTATAGAGTAGTCTCTTAAGGTACTAGGGGTTCTATACCCCAAACCCTAGTTTTAGGGCTATTATATAATAAATGAATATGTTAGGGTTTTGAATGAATGTGTTTGTCTAGTTGATTTTAATGCTTAATCTACTTTAATTGTGCTAGGTGAGTCGCTATAACCTTCTCTTCTAGCCTACTTGAGCTTCTACAATGGGTATGGAGTTTTATATTTAAACGGGTATGCACAATATGGCATATTAGGGTTAGATGAATGAATAGGATCTTGTGGTGGACAAGGCGACTGTACCCCTACCACAAGAATGCCTTCCTAGATGGAACCCGGGATGAAACCTCAGTGTGAACGGTGGGTAGTAACCATTGAAATGAGCTAAATTCTTACCCCAGAAACATGAGCCTATACCGAGGTGACAATGAGGTAGGTAGGGCGTACACAGAGGCGTGTAGATAATCACGAAGTCCCACGGAAAAGAGCTCACTCACCGCATTCGCTTAACCCAACATGTTTAGACAGTTGCATGATAGACCTAGGTTAGGGCGAGGTTAGTTTCCCGACGTACCTGTTTTTATCCTTGTTTATTCTCTCTACTAGTTATTTCACTTTAATCCTCCAACACAACCCCTTAAACCGATCGACTAGATAACAACAACGTGGGAAGTAGCCTAGGGTGTCAGGACCCGAGTGAATACGACCTTGATTGCCCCTATATGACAACGCCACTATAGGTTAAACCTGGACTAGAATGAGGTAGTTATTGATACGTGTAAACTAATGACAATGACCTGCATAGAATTAATCAATTAAGCTTTTTGGCGCCGTTGCCGAGGAACCTCGGTAACTAGTAGAAAACTATCAAGCTGTTAGTTTGGCATTTATTTTCTTTGTTTGTATTTATATTATTTTAGTAGTTATATCGTTTTTTGTTTTGTTATGCAACTTAGGAAAAAATCCCAGAATACACTAGCTATTAAAAAAAAAAAATCTCAAAATACGTTAGTTATAAAAATAATTCACAAAGTACACATGTTTGTTTATCACCGCAATTGACCAAAACAGTGAATAAAATCACCGCAATAGACGAAGACAGTGAATTACCATTTTTATTAAAAACAGTGAATTAATCATCACAATGAACCTTAATTTAATAGTCATTTTTACTTTTATGGTCCATTGGATGGGAGATGGAGACGGATAACCATTCTTCAAATTCCAACTGATGAAATATATCCAAACTCACAGCCACCCTCATACTTTGCAGATATCCACACAGTTCTGATCATAGAACTCCACACAAGTTTATTAATTCTTGCCACATCAGCTTGTACTTTAAATGTATTACTGACCCAAATAAGTTCTTCTTCCCATTGATCCCCTGGCTTTCTGGCAGTGAAGCCACGAAACACACTAGCAAAAATCTCCTTGTAAACCTTGGAAGCACCAAACATATGTGATCTAGTCTTTAAATCATCGCCACAAAGCACAAAAGACACATAACCCCTGCAATCTCCCATTGAAGTAATTTTTCCCCAGTGGTAAAATTTTCAATACTATGTGATGTAAAATTTTCAATTAGGTCTTTTTTAAAATGAAAATAGTATTTCTTCCCTTAATTACGACTTGATTATATTTATAATCCTTGATTAGTTATTTATTTATTTATTTATTTATTTATTTATTTGTAACGTTTGTCAGTTGTTTCTAATGTTTGTAAATTGTTGGGGGTGTAAATACGACATAACCCAACCTGAACCGTAAATATGGTCCGTTTAGCACATATGAGCCCAAACTCACAAAAACACCACAAGGCCCAACTGAAACCCAACAAACGGTCACAAGGTTTTACCTATAAATATGCTTCTAGGTCTTCCAAGTAAGGGATCCCTTTTTCTCCTCTCCTCATTTTTTACATATCACTTCTCTCTCTACACTATCTCTCTACCTTAATTCTCCCTATTTTCATATCTTAATACTAATGTTGATCGTCGGAGTGTAGAGATTCGGGGCCACCCCCGCCCTTTCACAGATCCGGTGCTTTTCTTGTTTCATGGCTGAAACATAAATATTGTCATCTCAATTGGTAGCTTTTATCATTTGTAACTTTGTAAACATTTTGATTGTGGTTTGCCGCTTTTGAAAATGTGTCTTTTGCAAGCATTAAGTTCTAATTAATTGGTAACTATGCATACATTATGTACCCAATTTGCAATATTTTCGAGGATAATTTTAAACTTCATCATATTTACAGGTATTATTTATAACTATATCATATTATTTAGGACAACAAAAATTTTTCTTCGAGACTCTCCAATAAATAGTATACTTAAAAAAACTCTCCTATTAAAGAGAGAGGACCGAGTAGTAACAACCACAAACCAAAAAAAAATGTCTTTTAATTTTCTTTTCTAAGAGAGTGTAGGAGAGAAGATGTACGCTTTGTTTGGCAACAAGGGGGTGCAAATTGCAGGAGGGTGCAAGTTGAGGGGTAAATTGCGGGGGGTGCAAATTGCTGGTGGTGTAAGTGGAGGGGTAAATTGTTGTTTGGATGAAAAAGTAGAGGGGTGCAAATAGAGTGAAAAGTAAGTAATTATATTATTTTAAATAGATTTTAAAATTTTAAAATAGATTTTAAGATTATAAAATAGATTTTAAAATTATAAAATATTATCATAAAATAATAAAATAAATATTACTATATAATAATAAATATTCTTTACAAAAAATAGTTTTTATATAATAATGCTCAAATAATAATTAATTATAACAATTGTAATAATCATTGATCAGCGATCTCAAAACTCGAAGCTCAACTCGTAACTGGTCATCCTATATAGGGTTTTCGTGTCTAGTTTAATCTTAAATTGTCAAACTTAGTCAAACACGTTCAAATTTGTAAGTTTTAACTATTTAGTCAAATAAACTGAGTTAACCAAACAATTTCTCTCTATATTTTCTACAAACACCTCGTATCTCTAATTTTCAATGCAAATTCGATTCAACCAAGAGATCTAGATTTGACTTGACGAACATTGATAAATTTGTTTCCAGAGTCAAATGGTCAACCCCGAATAATGTTTACATTAATGATATTTATAAAAAGAAGAAATTGATAATATTAATATTATATAATTATATATAACACAATTAGAAAAAAAAATTCCATAATTCCCCCCTCGCCCTCTCTTCCTTTATTCCCTTGCACCCCAATTCGGGGGGTAAGCCGAAACAGTAAATTTGCACTCCCGTTTTGCACCCCCTACTGTTCCAAATTAACCAAACATGTGCAAATGTGTTGGAAACTGTGTTTGCACTCCCATTTACCCCTCTTCCCAAACAGAGTGTAAGCAGGGGCAACAGTGGCGGATTTTACTATTGTCTGAGATAGGAGGTAAGATGTGACTAATCGCCATTGTCGAAAGATAAAAAGGAGAGGGAATGGAAAGCAATAGAAGAGGTGAATTTGCAATTTTGTAGGAAAAAAAAAGGGGAATGTAAAGAGAAATTAAAAAGAATACAAAAATTTCACTTGTGTTGGATTTAGATACCAAATGCAACACCCAAATCAATCACCAAATGACTTACACGTTTTTTTGTTAATATTCAATTGGTTTTCTTTCATGATATCACAAATATTTTCCTCAAAAATTCAAATTTCACAACAAATGATCGAGAAACAGAATGGTTTTATTTAATCAAAATTCAAAAAAACTACTTAGAAGATTCAATGGCACCTCTTAACAACCACGAATATTTTTATTGATAAATGATGTGTTCTTAATTATTGCGTTTTTAGATGATTGTTGATCACAATGTTCAAATTCAATATCAGGTGAAATATATCTTTCCATATTACCAGTACACTAATCACTTAGATTTTTTAATGACTACATTAGTGCACAATTGTCTTAGTTTTGGTTGAAACTAAAAAATATAAATTAATAATGGTAAATTTTATAAAAAATAAATGTCAAGTCATTTACCTCAAAATAAGAAGTATAAATATTTCAATTAAAATATGAAAAATACAATAGTAAGTTAGAAAGACTTCATCAACAAAAAACGTATGAACTAATTATCATTGACGACACAAAAAATTAAATAGCCAAAAAAATACTACCAAAATAAGTATAATTTTTTTTAAATCATTAATCATTTATAAATATGAATGAATTGATTACATTAAGCATAAAATGAAATTCATTCAACCAACGAGTCGGGTAAGAAACTAGTATGTGAAATGTACAAATGTAAGTGTAGTATTTGACTAGATGAAAGTATTAGTTAAACAAAATATGTGGTACTGGTCCGCGTTACACATAAGAATCCAAAATGGAGACTTTACCTAGAACAACATGAAAAACGAAATTACAATATAACAATTTTTTTTAAGGATAAGGGTGATATAAATTCACTTTTGTGGTTTAGGGATTGCTTAAGGAATTTGTACTTGAAACATCCAGGTTCAAATCTAGTGGTACAATCACTAGACCAAACCCTTATTCGTTACAAATATACCAATTTTACTTACGTGGATACATAACTTACATCAAAAGATAAAGTACACATTCTTGAAATACCGGTTCATTGGTTTCAAAAGCTGACCTCATAAGCCACTCGATCAAAACTAAAATGGATATTCTTCCTCATCATCAGAAGTTCATCATATATTTGCTCCAAGTTGATTAGCTAACATACTGCGCACATATTAAGGGAGATGGCCGCCGCCGCCGTGTGGGCCGGATCTTGAATTACTTCTCTTTATCCGGAGTTTGATCACCGCAGCTATTCGACCATGCTCCTCACTCTTGATTCCAACTGCAACAAAGACAGATACAGAATCCCCGTTAATTGGTCGGTCAACGAATTTAACGGTTATCAAATATATTTACTGCAACTAAGGTTTGTAGTCAAAATGCTTAATTAAAATGTCCAACTCAAGCAAAAATTTAACCAAACTGACTTTAGAGTTGAGAGACATTCTTTGATTTCTTTCTAACTCACCAGGCATGGCTGCGGGAACTCGAGCTGCTTTCACCAAGACCATCTTGTTGTTAGCCAGCGAGGAGAAGACGAGCAGAAGCAAAGGAATGATGTAAACAGCACAAGAAGGAGCTCTGGTTCGATTAGCCATTGCTATTTGCCAGTGATAGTAATGAATAACAAAGGATACCTACAAAGGCACATTTATAATGCAATAATGTGGAGTGGGTAGTTCATAAACCATTGACCAAGAAACTGAAAACTGGCCGGCTGGGTGAATATATAATTAACAAGTAACAACACCTCCGGAAAACATCCAGCGTTTCCTTTTTTTTTTTTTTTATAATGGTGACATCAATTAATTGATACTTAACAAGAAAGAAGAAACAAAAAGGACCAGGTGGCAAACACCAACCAGGTCTCAACAACAGAGTTCCAACCTCAGCCAGCTGCGAAAGCCACAAAAGAAGAAAGGGAATGGCAAAGCAGCAACAACCCGAAAAAGCAACAATAACCAAAATAGAACAAAGTAAATAAGAGACTGGCTGAGATTCCATCAAAAGCCCGGGAAAGCAGCAATAAACACCATCAGAAGTCCATTCTTAAGCAACCACTCCCATGAACCTTCACCTCAGATGAATAAGTATCGAAGGTCAGAACTTTCTACTCATGACACAGGCCACGGAACCAAACTCTTCCCAGCTCCCGAACGTAATCATCGAGCAGGCCGAACAACATTCAGGGGGATCAGCATAGACTTCCAACAGCTGCACAAGGTATCAGAATGACAAGAGGCGATGCAGGAGATGAAACAACAGCAACTGCCTGCCACAACTTACTGCTGCAAAAGTTGGGACTTCATGATATTGAACCAAGATTCAGCAACAATCGATCAACTCTCTTTTTTGCCTAACATTTCCAAGCAATAGCTAATTGGTGGTTTGGATGTACGTGTTATTTGTCAAATTTGTCATTTGAGATTAATTACCATACAAATACTAAATGTCACAATACTTATTATTTGTGTTAGAGTAGTCAAAGAGTAAAGGAAATACCACATTGATGGGAAAAGGAAAGTGCAAGTTGTTTTTAAGTTTGCTTTCCACTTTAGTTATTGGATAAAATGGTTAGTGGGCTTTTGGAAAAAGTGTAGGCTATTTAATTGGACATATTAAATCGCACTACGCACTTAGCACGTTTGCGCGACGCGTTCGGATTTGAATTTTTGGCTAATTAATTACCGGAATTATTTTAATTAATTAATCCGGATAATTATATGATTTTGAATTTTGTGAAACGACGTAACCCTTCGAAAGGGAACTGCCGTTTTCACTATAAAAGTCTGCAGCCGAATTTCTGTTCCAACGATCACCTTCTTCTCCTTGTTTTTCCTTCTCCAAAAACACAAACACAGAAGTCACGAAAGGTGCTGCTTTCTGACTTTGATTGGAGGGACTCCTGGGGGTGGTTTGCCTAAATCCTACCAGCAACAAAGTAGTGGGGGCAAATAAACACTCTAAGGAGAGTGATCAAATCACACCTTCAATAGTTCTCTTCCATACTGTTTCCTTGACAATCTTAGAGTGTTTATTTGCGTGTGACAATGGATTCTGGAGTGGAGAGCACTTTGAAGGCGTATGCCTCTGATTCCAACAAACTCAATCGGTTTGATGGAACCAATTTCACCCGCTGGCAAGAGAAGATGAAGTTTCTGTTGGCTGCTTTGAAGATCGTGTACATACTGGATCCTGATTTGGTGCCGCTAGAAGAACCACAAGACACTGACTCTGATGAATTGAAGGCTGAGCGCAAGAAGAGGAGTGATGACAGCCTGATGTGCCGAGGATACATCCTCAATTCACTCTCTGATCGTCTCTACGATCTGTATTCCCAGTTGGCGACCCCTACAAAAATTTGGACATCTTTGGAGAACCAGTACAAATCAGAAAAACAAGGTGCAGATAAATTTGTCACATTCCAGTTCTTTGAATTTAGCATCACTGATAAGCGTTCAATTCTGAATCAAGTTCATGAATTCCTAATCTTGGCCTCTAAGTTCACTGCGTTGAAGATAACACTTCCTGATGCGTTTTTGGTGGGGGCAATTATTGCGAAGTTGCCTCCATCATGGAACAATTATAGGAAGAAATTACTTCATACGTCAGAGGAGTTCACTTTGGAGCAGATTCAGAAGCACCTTAGGATCGAGGAGGAAACTCGTATCCGTGACAAGGATCTGAATTCGGTGGCACCATCAAGTTCCAAAGTGAATGTTGTGGAGAGCAAGAAAGGAAAGAAGAGAAAGGCCATGAATAATTCCAACAACCAGACCAACAACCAGAAGAATAAAAAGAAAAAACCGTCCCCTATGTCCACTAAGAATTGTTTCAATTGTGGGCAATTGGGACATATTGTTCGCTTTTGTCCTAATCCAAAGAAGAACCAGAACCAGAACAAAAGGGCTGCAAGTGCAAATGTGATTGAGAAAGTTAAGCCTAGTGAGATTGTTGCAATGATTTCTGACTTACATGTGAGTATGATTCAGGAATTGCACATGGCTGGAGTCATGACCAGTGTTGATTGGTGGTATGATTCGGGGGCAACTGCTCACATTTGCAACAAGAGAGCCATGTTCAAGGACTACACAGAGTCAACGGAGGGACATGAGGTTCTGTTGGGTGATCATCGTACGATCAAGGTTCTTGGATCTGAAACCGTGGAGCTTTTCTTCACCTCGGGAAAGAAAGTTGTTCTCGCCAATGTCCTTCACGTTCCTGATGTTAGAAAGAACTTGGTTTCTGGTTTCATGCTTTGTAAGAAGGGGATAAAGGTTGTGATAGAATCTGATAGGTTGATTCTGACCAAGGCTGGTATGTTTGTTGGGAAGGGCTATGTTAGTGATGGTATGTTTAAGCTAAGTATTGACAATGGTAATATTAATAATAAAGTTGATGGTTCTGCTTATATTGATGTGCATGCAAATTATAGTATAGAAAGTACTTCCTTTGATTTATGGCATAATCGATTGGGGCATGTTAATTTTAAGACTCAGAAATACATGTCTAGAAATGGTTTAGTAGTTTGTGGCGATGACAGTGGAGATAAATGTGAAATCTGTGTGCAAGCTAAGATGAAGAGAAAGCCATTTCCTAAGTTGGTTGACAGAAAATCAGAATTGTTAGAATTAGTACATTATGATATTTGTGAATTTCATGGTGAGTTAACTAGAGGAGGATGTAGGTACTTCATTACTTTCATTGATGATAGTACTCGATTTACCTATGTCTATTTAATGCGAACCAAGGATGAAGCCTTTGATAAGTTTAAGTTGTATAAATCTGTTGTTGAAACTCAAAAGGGTAGGAAAATACAAATCCTTCGAAGTGACAGAGGTGGAGAGTATTTTCCAAATAACTTTAACGAGTTTTGTGAGCAACATGGTATAATACATCAAAGGACTGCTCCTTACACCCCACAACAGAATGGAGTAGCAGAAAGAAAAAATGGAGTTCTTTCTGACATGATTAATGCTATGTTGATGAATGCTAGTGCTCCAAATAATTTGTGGGGTGAGCCTTTGCTAACAGCCTGCCATGTACACAATAGGATTCCGTCTAAGAAGCTAAGGGAATCTCCCTATGAGTTGTGGAAGGGAAGGAAACCGAACTTGAGTTATCTTAGAGTTTGGGGCTGTCTTGCTTTCTACAGAGTCCCAGATCCTAAGAGAACTAAGTTAGGACCACGAGCTTTGAAAGGTGTTTTTCTTGGATATGCAGAAAACTCAAAAGCCTATAGGGTTATGGATTTAGAATCTAATGCGGTTGTGGAATCCAGAAATGTTGAGTTCTTTGAGAACAAGTTTCGACGTGACTCTGCAAATGTAGAACCATGTCGAGTTACTTCTGTAGATTCCTCAAATGAGTCTATCTCTGCTACCGATTTTGACATTGGTTCTAGTAGCAAAAGGCCTTCAGATGAACCTGCTGCTAATGAACCACGAAGAAGTCAAAGGGCTCGAAAGGAAAAGAGTTTTGGTCCTGAATTTATTGATCCTCAAGATATAGTCTTTCTTGTTGAGGTAGATAGGTTAAATAAGGTTACAAGAAAGATACCCATTTTGTTCCATGTGCAAGACGATCCCAAAACCTATCAAGAAGCAATGGCTTCTAGAGATTCTGCCTTTTGGAATGAGGCTGTTAATGATGAGATGGATTCGTTATTAATAAATAAGACTTGGGTTCTTGTGGACCTGCCTCCTGGATCTAAGGCTATTGGATGCAAATGGGTATTTCGCATTAAGTATAACACAGATGGATCAATACATACCTTCAAAGCTAGACTGGTTGCAAAAGGGTTTAGGAAAAAGGAAGGAGTAGATTGCTTCAACACCTATGCACCAATTGCAAGAATCACTTCCATAAGAGTGCTTTTAGCCTTGGCTTCTATTTACAATTTGCACGTACACCAAATGGATGTAAAGACGACATTCTTAAATGGTGAGTTAGATGAAGAAGTGTATATGGAGCAACCAGAAGGGTTCGTGTTGCCTGGAAATGAAGGAAAGGTGTGTTGATAATAGGAACTAACATGAAAGGCATAAATGAGACCAAAGAGTATCTAACTTCCTGCTTCCAAATGAAAGATCTTGGAGAAGTAGATACTATATTGGGCATCAAAGTAAAGAAACATAGTGGGGGTTTTGCTTTGAGTCAGTCACATTATGTCAGAAGATGCTCAAGAAATTCGAGCATTTGAATATAAAGGAGGCTAACACCCCTTATGATGCATCTTTTAAGCTTTGTGCGAATGAGGGAAGGGCAGTGGCACAAGTTGAGTATTCTAGTGCTATTGGAAGTTTGATGTATGCAATGGGATGTACTAGGCCCGATATTGCATTTGCTGTGGGCAAACTTTCTAGATTCACTAGTAATCCTAGTGCCCATCATTGGAGAGCTATAGGAAGAGTCTTTGGTTATTTGAAAAGAACCAAAGATTTGTGACTCTTCTATAGCAACTTCCCCGCTGTACTAGAAGCATTTTCTGATGCTAGTTGGATCACGAGCGCTAGTGATAATAAATCCACAACAGGACTAGGTGGTGGAGCTGTTTCTTGGGCTTCGAAGAAACAAACATGTATTACACACTCCACTATGGAAGCCGAATTCCTAGCCC